TCACTTCTCATTTTCTTGCAATCTGGCTTCTGTTTCAGCCTCTCTATTGAAACAGCTTTTTTCAGAGGTTACCAACAACTTAACTGGTCAATATTATGGTCTTTTTAAGAAAGTTGTTAGCCTCCATGACCTTGTTTAATATTATTGAGTACTCTTTCCTCCTGAACCCTCTTGGCTTCCATGATTCTACACTCTTCTAGTTCTCCTAACTGTATAATTATTCCTCAAAATACTTTGTTCATTCTTCATCCTCTACCTCCTAAGTGTGGGTGCTCTCCAGATCTTTGTCTTGGGCCCTCTTCCTTTCTCTCTTTATATTCACTCTCTTGGGAAGATAACAAAGAAAGAGCTCTTGGGGAGCTCTCATCAACTTAAATGGATTCAAATATGTTCCCTATTTGGGGGATTCCTAAGTCTGTATATCCACCCCTAATTTCTATCCTGAATTTCATGGTCACATTGTCAACTGTTTGCTGCATATCTCTTCCTAGATGTCCAACAGATATCTTAAATTCAGCATGTCCAAAAACAGCATTCATTATCTTTTCTCAAAATCCTCCTTTCCTTGAAACTTCCTTAATTCTGCCCAGGGCACCACAATTCTCCCAGTCTTGACTCTTTGGAATCTGTTATTGACTTGCCAAAGGACCAACCCACAACTTCCATGCAATCCTTGCTGTTTCCCTCACTCTTGTTGACATTATATACCAGGGGTCATGCTGTATTTGTTGCTAAAATGCCTTCAAAGCAATCTTCTTCACCAAATTCTGAGTATAACCAGTATAATATTCTACTCAAAGTAACCAAGTTACTTAACCTAGAAATATGACTTAGTCTCTTCAAAATTATAGATAATTTATGTGACCCATCTTTAGCCAGATCATGTGGACTGCATAGATATTTGTTTTATGAATAAAAAGTATACCTGAAAAGTTGTACAGATATTTAATTTTTGAAATAATTTTAAATGAATTATGAGAGGTTGCTACTTAAAGTTATCTATGGTAATTCTTTTTATAAGGAGGTTAGTGATTCCTTAAGTTCAGATTTCTTATACTTGGCTTTCTTTAAAGGAGGCTATATCTGCCTCTGGAAATGTAATATGTCGCCATATGAAAAAAATGCATAACTTTTAACTGGACTCCTATATTTTATAGACTTAGATAATAAGCTGAAGGAATGGCATAAAGAAGAAATAATGTTGTTAGTGTATGGTGTGGTTTTGTGAGGATGAAAAACACCTAAAGTATTTCACCTTAGGCCTAAGGAATTTCTTTTTTTCTCATGAAAGTTCACCATTTGGTGCAAGAGACTGACATGCACTAAAAATCTACCACCGTTCTTAGCCTGGGGCTAAGAAATACAAGTGTGCTCTGAAAATGATTTAATATGGAGATACCAAAGAAAATGCATCATTTTAAGTGATTATGAAAGGTAAATGGGCTTTTAAAATATTTGAATGGGTGAAAATGTCTAATTAGAAGTATTCACTCCCGACAGATGTGATAAGGACATATAACTAAAGAAGACTGATGATCTGTTTGGGATTTTTTTTTTCAGTTCTGTGATTCTATTTTAAAATCTAAAAGGTTAGATAGAATAGAAACTAATAGATTGTACTAGAAACCCTCTGAAGCACTAATGGCCCCATGCTAAATCTATCCTCAAACACTGAACTCTCAATTAGAATAAGATGTGAACAATTTCAAAATTCTTGGAATTCCCACTTTTTTTGACTTTGAGTCACACTGTCATAAAAGAGAATGTGCTTTTATCCAACCAACTTCTGAATGGTGAGTGAACTTCAATTGTGTACTCTGTTAGACCCAACCAATTAATTTATTAATAGAATGCAATGCTGAGAAAACCTTGATTTTCTATAATTCTCTGATTGTACGAAGTTCGTCTTCAAAAGTGCTTATCTCCTCTTTACCTTGTCATCATGGTCTGAATCAGAGTCCTGAGTTTTATGAGTTTTTACTCATAAAATGTATAGTGAATAAAGACAATCATACAAAAGCTTTTAAAAATATATTCTATCTCCTGCATAGCTGCTATTCTCTGTTTTCTTTTCTAAGTTCTGGTCTCTCAAAGGTATATTTTAGAAGTGGGGAATAGTTGTATATATGGCTTAATCTAAAAATAGCCATTTACTATAACTGTCAAGGGAACCTAATGATTATACATAATGCTCCTACGTGCTACTTTCTACATGTACATCTCTAATTTCACCTTACCAAGGTCTGACATAGTCATCACAAACACATTTTAATGATTGCACACTGAGTCCTCCAAAGACTGAAGACAACTGAAGTGGAATTTTTCAACGATACAAAATATGTGGGAGGTAGCATAGCATAGTGAAGGGAAGGTTGATGTTAGAGTCAGGAAGACCTGGGTTAAAGTCCTATTTCTGAAACATACTGGCTGTGTGAGCACAAGTGAATTACTTCATATCTAAGCATTCACTGAGACTAGAAGGTACAGCTGAATTACTGATTCAGTAATTGGGGGCAGTTTCCCACACACAGTTACAATCATGCACCTGGACAGACGTGGTCTGTTGTAGAAATGTATACAAAGATATCAATAGAGTTATGGTAACCTATTTGCAGCAAAAAGCGAAATGGGTACACTGAAGCCAGAAGGTAAGACATAAACCATAAACTGGGTCTTGGAAGTGCATTAAGCTTGAACTCCTGCGAATGATTAGGTTCTGTCTTAACTCCTTGAGTTTGGCTAGCACTGGTCTGGTCTAGACCTATGTTCCCTAGAAATTTGGGCCAGCTCATTTTCCTAAGATGATAAAGATGATTTGGGTGACTCTCTCCTAAATTCATTGTTGTATCATCCCAGGAGAGTTTTAGGGAGTCCTGTTCATAACCTCCCTTCTCAGATCACTGCCCGGTGGCAGAGGAGCTTTCATAGCTCAATGAAATTCTGAGCTACCCCATATAGGGTTACCCAAGGCTGATAGGTCATAGCAGAGAGTTCTGACAAAAGACGATGCATTGGAGAAGTAAATGGCAAACCACTCCAGTATCTTTGCCTAGAAAACCCCATGGATAGTGAAAGGCCTGGCATGCTATGGTATATGGGGTCACAAAGAGTCAGACATGATTGAACAACTGAAAAACAACAATACACATAACCTGCTTGATACTCTCTCTCACATTTTAGCTAACAGTAAAATAAAGCCTAGCCTGAAAATAAAGTAGAGGTAGCAGAGAGGACTAAGCTATAACATTTTCTTCTGATTCAGACCAATCTTAGGAATGGAGCAAGTATAATGACTTCTATAGGACCAGTGATGAGATGGTGCCACTTACAATTTATTTAGTAATAACTCACTCTCAGAGCCCTACTACTCGGAAATGTATACTAATAGACTTCCATCCTTCTTCCATCCTGGAAAGCCAGGAGTAGTGACTGCATGGACATAAGAAAAGGTGAACCCATAGTGGCAATGCTACAGCGTCTGTTACAAGAGTATTTGGGCTGAGGTAGCTATCAACATTATATACCAGGGGTCATGCTGTATTTGTTGCTAAAATGCCTTCAAAGTAATCTTCACCAATTTCTGAGTATAACCAGTATAATATTCTGCTCAAAATACATTCTTTTGCAAGTATGCCATTTTAAGCTAAAAGAATATCACCAGGGATGCACATTTTGAAAGAATCAAAGTTAAAAAAATTATTTTACCACATTTATTATAACTCCATACAATTAACAGCTAAAGCTGTGCTTTTTAAAATCATGACAATGTTGGTTCAGAAAATTACCTAAATCTTAGGATGCTATAATGCATATTTTAGACTGTGTGACTTGATACTAGATATCCCTTCCAATTTTTTTTTCAGTTTTTGAGGATTGAGCTTTTTTAAGTAGTGCCGATAAAAAATAAAAGAGGCTGGAAATTATGCCCTCAGATACTCTTCATCCATAAAATCATAGGACTTGAGACCTAAAAAGAACCATAGAAATCATCTGATGCCATCTCCTCATTTTAAACTAAGGGAACTGAGGCCCATAGAGGACAGATGACTTGCCAAAGGTTACAAATTTAGTGACAGAACCAAGAGTAGAATTCACACTTCTATTTGCACTCTCTTGTATATTATTTTTAAATGTTTCCACAATTATATAGCAAAGACTTTTTTTTCTTAGTATTTTGAATAAGTAATGAAGTGACTGGATCTACCATGCATGTTGGTACAAAGTCTGGTTTTTAAAAGTCACTTTACTTTAAAAACTTCTTTTGTAGGAACTATTAGCACACAAGTTGAATATTTATCAGTAGTAGCTGATTTAATAAAGAAAACTTCATAAGTTCGTAAGTTCAAATTATCTTCAAAACAGTAATGATTTACATTATCTTCACGTTTAATGATCTATACCTAATAGATCACTATTAGGGCTCTAAATGGGTCATGTTTACCTGATTTGGTTTATTAAGACTTTTCAAATTTATTACATATAAAAATGAATTTATCCATTTAATATGAACTACTGGTTTAAAAAACAGATTGAAAAATGTGATTAGAAAGGACTACAAAGTTAGAAATGAAGACACAATTCAGTCATGCCAGGCATGTGCATTTAAGCAAGACAATATTCTAATAATGGCTGTGTAGTATTTAGCTCAATACACATGCATAACATACATACAAAGTCCCAAATATACTTCTGTCAGTAATTCCACCCATGATTCATCCAAGAGGCTTTGGTCCCTCAATGAAATGTGGCTATGTTTCTCTCAGCTACAGCATATTCTGGCTTGGGTTGACAGTATTTTAAACTAGCTAACTTGATGTAACTTCATAAGTTTGGGGCTTTTTAAAAAATTGGATTGTTTCCCACTGTGGAAGATCAGAGTACAGTCCTTCTCTGGACATGCCTAATAAATGTACTTATCAGAATTGTTTCTGCCGCTGCGGTCTGACTCCTTTGCCCATTAGAGAGGGGAGAAAGGAGAATAACAACAAAAATAAACAAACCCCAACTTGCTGTAGCTGCTAAGAAGATTCAGCGAGATCAATCGATCTGCCCCACTGGATGTCAGCTACACGCGCAGCTTCCCGACATTCTATTCAGGCATCTTGTTGACACTCAGGGAAACCAGCCAGAGAGTGGACCCCCGGCAGCTTCCCCATGAATAAGTCAATCAGGTTCTAATCACAAGGCAGGATGCGAGTTAGAGTAGCTCAGATCTGGGGCAGCGGCAGGCATGCAAGTTTGGGTTAGTTAGTCTCAAATGTACCATGCAGGTTTGCATTCACGTTTGGCAAACGCACTTAGGGAAAACAGACTTTATGCTTACAATGATCCCAGCCCAAAATGGAGTTTCTCTGACTAGCAAGGAAGAGCTGATGCCTGCCATGACAAAGCCCACAGTTGTCACAGCAATGCCTAAGGCCAGCTGCAACAGGGCGAGCAGCAGCGGGAAACGGCAGCCACAGCAAGTCCGGGCTTCCTCCTCCCGGCCTGCTTTGGGGTCCCCTTTGCCTTTCTTCGGCCCCGGGTCGCTCTGGGCCCCTGAGGCCGTGCCCCGGTCCCCGGCGGGCGCCGTTGGCCCCTGCCTCGGTTTGCCTTGGGGAGCGTTGGGGGCTGGTGGTTGCTCGTTCTGGCCCATGGCCGGTGGGTGGGTGGGCTGCGGGGCCCCCAGGAACTCACTGGGCTGGGCGCAGGCTGAGCCGCTCCCGGTATTTGAATCACGGAGGCTGAACAAATATGGAAAACATTTGGAGCCGACGGTGGGAGCCTCCAGATGCCACAGGAGGCAAGAGGAGAGGGGGAATCGAGGGGGATAGCGAACTGCCAACGAGAGGGGACGTAGCGTCTGTGTGGGGCTGCAGGAGAACCCGAGCGGGCACACGCGCAGGAGCCAGTGTGGGGGTCCTGGGAGCCCCCGGGCAGGAACAGCGTGTGCTGCTTCTGACATGCAATAGGGGAGTGGGAGGGTGTGTGTGTGTGTGCGTGCGTGAGAGAGAGAGAGAGAGAGAGAGAGAGAGAGAGAGAGAGAGAGAGAATGAGAATGAAACAGCGAGAGGGGCTTCCTTGTAAAGAGATTCCGGACATTTTGGGAAAACAAACCAAGAAGAATGAGAAATGTTAAATTCATTGCAGTTCTCAAGTCTTTCAAACTTGTTTGCCTTTACAATGTTGTTATGATGTCTAAAGGATTCTGCTTCGGCTTACTTCACTTTGCATCAGTCTACAGCATTTATTAAAGGCTCACCAAGTGCCAGGCACTGTGTTAAGCATTGGTGTTACAAAGAAAGGCACAAGTTAAAACAAACAAACAAACAAACAAACAAAAAACCCCACAAGGCCCCTGCCCTCAAACTATGCATATTTGTTGCAAGGATTTTGTTTTTCTTTTTCCAGTGGGGATGGGGAAGGCGAGAGGGAGAGAAAATAAATGTTTAATTGTAAAAACAAAAAATTAAAATCATTATAGTTCAGTTATTAGGTGGTTAATCCAAATCAGGACTTCTGAGAGTAGGGAGAGGGGAAGTAAAGCAGTTTCCATGGCTTTTGTTTTTTTTTTTTTTTTTAATGAGACAACATCTGGTCCCTAGTATAGTGGAAAGAGCCCTTGCCCAAGAGTCAAGACTTGAATTTTGGTCTTTGCCTTACCACCAACTTGCTAAGTTACCTGGGGAAACCAATACATTCCACTGGGCTTCAATTTCCTCATGTGTAAAAATGAGGGTTTGAAATGGATGGCCCTTAGGTTCTCTTTCAGCCCTGATATTGAAACATTAAAGGCATATGTTGAAAGTCTTCCATCACTTTTAACAACTAAGAGTAGTTCTGAAGATTAGACAAAGCTAGCTATGTTGCAATGTTTTGGAAATATATTGAAATATTTATTAGGTTGAGTCCTCCACTACTGAATGAAAAAATTCCCTATATATTCCCCCTTGGGAATAAAAGCTCCTTCAGGGTAAGGACAGTTTTGTTCCTTGTCTTTGAATGCTCTGCTCCTGAGAGGAACCATGGAGTAATTAAAAGAAAAAATAGTTGGTCTGGGAGTCAGGAAGAACTGGGTTCATGTCCTGCCCCTGATATATACTGGTTATGTGACCTTGGGCAATACACTCAGCCTCTTAGTAATTACTCTAAGACTAGGCACTTCTAAGACTGTAAGTGGTAGTAGAAGAAATAGCCACCTTCATTGGTACAGTGAGTTTCCTTATTGAGAGTTCTCTACACCAATGAAATCATAGGTCCCATCCAAATATGTGTGTGTGTGTGTGTGTGTGTGTGTGTGTGTATACACACATATACATATATATCAGTGTTTGGCACAGTGACAGACACATAGTAGGTGCTTAATAAATTCATGTTTATTGGTTGATTGATATGTATTATTAGATTTCAAACATCTGTAAAGCTACTATGCTAATCACAACCTATCTCATATTTCTAGACACTGGACAATATTTTTAAGACAGTTATAATACTTTGTATTGACTTGATTATCTATATGTCATTATCTCAACACTCTTTACAATATCACTGTGAGGAATATTATCCTCATTACAAATGAAGAAACTGAGGTGCAAAGTGGTTGCACAGCAAATCAGTGAAGAACTGAAAATGGAATTTGGGATTTGTATGCTGTGCCAAATACTAAATCATTATTCTTGTCATATAACTACTAGTCAAAAATTTAGTGCCAAAGAAAATATAGACAACAGAAGCATGTGGAATTTCAGGACTGGAAATACATGTTTTTAATGAGAATACTAAGAAATAGTCTCATCATGATCTCTACATTGCTGAGAGGTGGGAGGAAAAAATTCCCTTCTCACAGACTGTATTTGGAGTCAGAAGACCTGGGTTCAACCCTTGCTTATGACCCTTCCAACCTTCAGTTTCCTCATTTGTAAAATGAGAGGTTTGAATTAGATGATGTTTGCTGCAAAAATCCTTTGATTCTATGATCTTGGTCTAGCTTCTTCAAAATCCTTAACTAGCATAGAGTGAATGGGACTTTCTCCCAGAATGTCTTGATTTGGAGGAAGGGCACTTCCTTCCCAGGGTGCATATTTCCTTTCCATGTTCATTCCTGTCTCCTTACCTTACCTCATAGACCTACACTGGATCATTCTCAGGGTCCTGAGACCTGTGTCACTGAAGTTGCCACCCTCAGACTCCCATTTCCAGAGATGTGGCATAGTACACTTGCCATTCCTAGAGTGCCATTTCCAAGGTCCCCTCTCCCAGTCTCTCCTTTCCCTTCAACCTCCATGGGGGATGGGAGGTGAGGGTGGTGATCAGGTTAGACTCCATTCCTTCCAAGGCAGTAATAGCATCACTGTTGTTTTTTTGCCTCAGATTAAAGAAATTCTTGTCACAACTTTATCAGTCAACTCAAGAAAAGATATACTACCAAGAATCACCTTCTTTTATCGTCTTCATCATCATCATCATTATCATCACTCTCTCCCTTATATTTATATTATATCCATTTTTTTTGAGGCTATCAGAGTTAAGTGACTTGCCCAGGGTCACACAGCTAGTAAGTGTCAGGTGTCTGAGGCCATATTTGAACTCAGGTCCTCCTGACTCCAAGGCCAGGGCTCTACACACTGGGCCACCTAGCTGCCCCTTATGTAACCATTTTTCAAAAGTAGAAGTGAAACAATATTACCCCTTAATAAATCAAATCAAAATTTAAAGGCAGCATTTGTGACAAAAAGTATTGGAAATGCTCCAATTTTGTATTTTGTACATAGTAATTTATATCTTTCTCCTGGAGCACTTAGTCAGCCAACAAGCATTTATTAAGTATTAATCTGTGTTCTAGGTATTGTTTTAAGTGCTAAGGAAATGAAGAAATGCAAAAATATTGTCCTGGCTCTCAAAGAGTTTACATTCTAATGAGAGAGACAACATGTAAATAGATGAGGGAGGGAAATAAGGCCTGTGCATCACATTGAGTCTTCCAGGCCATATGCCTGGCCATACACAGTGTTTGTGTATGAAGTTTACAGTGTATTACATGAGATGGTCAGATGAAACAAACACAAATAAATACAAGATGGGGAATGAAAAGGACAAAGGAGAGCTCACACAAAGTGCTGTAGGAAAATTTGGGTCTTAGGAATGAGTTTTAAAGAGAGGGCAGAAGTGGTGGGGGCAGTATTATAGAAGACTTCACAGAGGACAAAGCATCTCAGGAGAGCTTTGAAAGAAGATCTCAAAAGAAGAGCTGCTGGGGAGGAAGGCATGAGGCACAGCTTATAAGAATTCAGAGATTCAGGAGAGGGAACGCTGACTTTGGGAAACAGCTGGTGGTCCAGTTTGGCTAGAATATAGTTTGTATTCATGGGAGCAGTATAGAGGAAGGCTGGAAACTTAGATTGGAAACAGATTGTGTAGGGCCTTAAACAATAGAATTGAAATGACATAATCGCTAAGCCTCTGTCAGTGATGTTTAAAGGATCATAGAGGACAGGAGATACCACAGGAATGGAGTTATCCAAGTTTTCAAAAAATGGAAGAAAAAAATCATCAGCAAGTGAGCTTGATTTGAATTCTGTGCAGATTTCTAGAAAGGATTATGAGGTAATCTTCTAGAAAAACATCTAGTGGTAAACATCTAGAAAAAGGGGCAGTGATCAAGAAGAACAGGTGATGGCAGACTAACTTTACTTCCTTTTTTTCTGGCAGGGTTATTAGCCCAGTAGGCCAAGGGAATACTAGCGTTAGATATAGTTTACCTAGAAGTATTTGCTAAAGCCTCTGGTGTTACTCTTATGGAAGACATATATGGGCTGGATGATAACATGAGTAGATGGATTCAGAGCTAGTTGAATTGGTCAAACTCAGAGTTTGATGCCAACTTGCAGGTCTCCAGAAGAGTGCCCTAAAAATCTGTGTTTGGCCTTTTCTGTTTAACATTTTTATCAATGGCTTAAGATTAAGGCATTTTGCAAATTAGCTGGATGGCATGCTTATCAAATTTGCAGCTGGCACAAAGTTGGGAGGGACAACTAACATACTAAATGGCTGAATTAGGGTCCTAAAAGATCTTACTTAATCTAAAAGATGAGAGGGAGTCTCATAAGATGAAATTTAATAGGGATAAATGTAAAATCTTTCACTTTGATTTAGGAAATGGACTACACAAACAGAAGATGGAGAAAGCATGGTTAGAAAACAATTTATCTGAAAAAGATCTGGGGAGTTTAGTGAATTTCAAACTCTGTATGAGAAAGCAGTGTGAAATGGGAGCCAAAAAGGCTGATGTAAACTTGGGCTACATAGTTTCTAGGAACAAGGTC